ACGTTGTTACGACTGAATCGACTTTACAATTCTCTATCCAACGATGCCAAAACGAATTCTGTGGCTCAAATGGTTCTTGAGAAACTTCGAATAAAGGCCATTCAGTTATCTCTGGAATGATGTAAAAACGAGCGTTGTTGCTCATTTTGCTTCCGAGAAACATGCAAAACGGGACGGAAATCATGAAATTTTCCAATAATTTTGCGACCATCATTTATCTAATTTCATAGATAACAAAAGACTGTATTTTTTCTACATAACGCCCCTCCCTGACTTTAAAGCTGGATCCGCCCCTGCGGGTTCTGCACGGTGTCCAGAGGACTTCCTGCTGTGTTTTTTGCCTTGAACGGTGCACTGAAATTGGCACCTTTTCGCCGTTACTCAGCATCGAAACCAATTTCGGAAATATATAAGCTGGTACCAATGAGTAGTGGGTACCTTCTCTTGCATACAGGCGAAATACCAAGGTCGGCCGGCGTTTAGAATTAAACAGGTGGCCTCCATCGACAATAACTGCGGATTTGCATTTGAAACTGACGAAACTCGAACGTGAAAAATCGCTGTGCATAATCGGCATTTTTTAAATTTTTTTCGCACTTACAAATGGCCCGAAATCAACCTTGGGCTGTGCTTGTTTGAACGTGGCAGGCAGCGAAAGAGTGGCTTCAAACCACTGTAAACACCATCTGAACGTTGAACAAGCCACTGGTCAATTAACCTTTAGTTGGAGTTTAGCGACTGGTTGGATGATCGAAGACTTTGTACAGGGTGTGCACGTTTTTCTAGAGGGGAGCAGCTAACGCTGCTTCAGTAGTTGAAGGAAAGAGACCAACTGGACATTTAAATCAGTATAACTTCCAAACGAGTTGCTCGATTTTGGCAATTTTCCCCGTGTGTTTGGAAAAGAAACGTTGCTACTTTTCACCACACAGCTCAAAGCCATTGCTAGAGGGCGTAAGCATCGGATCAACAATCAGCGGCAGCGCTTGTGATCACCCTGTATATAACATTTTACTTTGCTCCTCTGCGGCCCACTCAGCTCAGCGCTCAGCTCTACGTCACGAATAGAGCGAATGACGCAAACACTGCCCTAGGCATTCGCTCTATATTTAGAGCGGCGCTCTGCGCGTAGGCATGTATTAGAGCTGATTCAATTGGCATTTGATGGGGAGTTCAGCAGGCAAAACTAAACAAAATATGCTCCTAATGAGTTTCGCTAATTATTTCACCTCACCGGTGAAACCCGGTCGGTTTGCGTATTACTTAATCGGTTTGCACACACTTTTACCAGTCGACCTTGTTCGAATAAATGTCAAATTTCGTGTGTGTTTTTCTGGTTAAAAATACTGCGGAAGGCCGAATTACACCCGGTAGCATTCGCTCAGGGTTAGACGCTGAACTGGCCAATTTGCTAAGCAATTTTCTGATATTGAGCAGATAAATTCCACTGAGAAAATGAACATTTGATGGTTTCCAGGCGGAAAAAGTTCCACGCCAATGGTTTTCCGGGAACCAAAACTATTTTCCGATTCTACATGCAGTTGCGAACAAAAAAGGCCCTTTGGGTTTTTTTGCTGAAATGCACCATTTCTGAGTAAAAAACTGAAAACCGCTCGTTCTTTAACGTTTGGCAATTTGTGCACGCCAATGGTTTTTTGGCTGAAAACTGAAATAATTTTCTAATTCTACATGCAATTGGGAACAAAAAAGCTCTGTTGAGTTTTTTGCAAAAACGCAGTTTTTTTTGAAAAAATTAAAACCGTAGGATTGTCCGAGAAAATTAACGCTTCAACATTCACTACTTTGCAGGCAGGAAAAATGTCAATGGTTCTTCCGCAAAGAAAAATTCTTTTAGAATTCTACATGCAGTTGGGGTTTTTTGGGAAATTGCACAGTTTCTGTTGAGAAAAATTAAATCCGTTGCCGCTTTCGCTCTTTCTTATTGGCGCGTTTGCCAAAACCTGTACATGTACTCAGACAAATGTCATTTGAGTGACTTGTGACGTCTGCCTACGTCGTTTATAAACGTCATTTTCCGGTCCCATGTTCCTGAGAACATCACGTCGACGTCACTTGAAGAACTTGTTGACTTGGACGTCATTTTCACGTGACTACTACGTTCGGATTGGTTTCGAATACTAGAATACGGAGGTTTATTCTTGAGTGACTTTTGACGTACTGCGTAGTAAGAGCAAACACTCGTTAACCAGCTTATCCAACACGCAGCACGCCGTGATAATTTATCTGATAAATATTTAAAAAAGTCCTGGGTGTCGAGCTTGGGTCACACACATAAAGCCTGCTGGCACATTAACCCACTAAATTTTGCGCTTAACTAAATAAAGTGTCTACGACGTATCCCGTCTACTAACTGGGGCTCAACCGATAAAACAAATTGCCCAACAAAAGCCAGAAGAGCAATGGCTATCAATGAGTGTTTTCCCACTCACAAACCCCTCAAGTTATACTGGGAAAAGTCGAATTTCCACTGGCTCTTTTGCCGATGATACCACCTTCATTGTAGACTCAAACACATTGCGAGGACCTCCGGAAGGAGCTTGCTTTATCCATACATGCAGAACCAGGAAAGGTGGATATTTGAAATTTTGAACCTTTAGTTGTCTCGAGCTGCTCAATTTGAACAACATATTTTCCCGTTTCTGCCACTTCCGGTTCAACCGGAAGTGGCAACTGCTTGCTATGTACACAGTGTCCCAATTGCTACCGCACTACTCTATGCAATGCATATGCATTTCTATTAAAACTTGCGGATTTTGCCAAAAAAAAATAAATTAAACCACCATAGACCTTCAGAAAACGTCATTCGGACTTGGCGTAGTCCATTATGTGACCTTTTCTCCCACCCCGGCCTAGCAACGGGCCAATGTAGGTCAACCTGGCCACTGGCCAATGAGAGGCGCGGGTTTCATCACGTGGCTTTGTTGTTATCATCAGCTGTGTCCGGGCCTGCTTTGCGCGAACCGGCATCCTGCCAGCGGCCTGCGCAGAATGATTCTTCGTTTTACTGCAAGGCAAGCACAGTGGGCCACGCTGCAAAACGCAGCTGGCAGAAACGCGAAATTCTTTCTCCTTCGAGAGGTCTTTTTTGCAAAACTTCCAACATTCGAAGTTCGTTTACTCGAGAACTTGCAGGAATAAGGAATTTTATCAAGAGCACTTTTTGCCTTCCGTTGAGGGCCTTAACCTCAATAACCTAAAAAATTGGGAAATTTTATCAATCTACGGCTCATACGTCGCTTGTTTTGGGGCGGATTTGTAAATTTCAATACATTTTTCGAGTTTTCCTTATTTCAAAGTTCAATAGCTCGAAAACTGTAGCGAGTTGGCTATTTTGCGAAGAGCGATTTCTTTTTGGAAATCCCCTGTTGAGTCTCTCTGACTACCGAGAACAGCAGTTTGATAAACCGGTTACAAAAACCGTAAAAAACCGATGCAAATTTTCAAAAATGTGCAGGCACATGTAATCTAAGGCACATAACTCTCTAGTTTTCGTGCCGATTTTCAAGTTTCCAAAAGTATGTTTTAGACGACTTATTTTTCTATACATGGAAAGTTCAACTGGTCAAAAAGGGACCAAACTCACTGAGTTATGAGTTAAAGAGTACCGTGTTGCATTGAATGCCAATTTTTCAAAAGTTCCAACATTTCAAGCTTGTTTGCGGAAAAACTGTCGGCGGTTGGAGATATTTTCAAGAGCAACTTTTTCTTGAAAATCCCCAGTTAAGTCTCCCTGATCACCAAGGACAGCAATTTGAAACACAGTTTAGCAAAACGTTTGAAAAATTTTGGAAAAAGAAAAAGCAAAAAAAACTTCTTTTACCTTAGTGGACGAAAAGGCACTCTAACGCAGGAGTTTGAAAGTTGTCACTCTGAGACGAACAGCAGGAAGACTAAACCGCAAAAACCTGCCAAATTTTTTAAATTTTACCGAACTAAGGGGCTTAATTCGTTTGTTTTTGGTTGCATTTACAAACTTAAAAAACCATGTTTTAAAGCATTGATTGTTCGACACGCGCAAAATTAATTAGTCAAAAATATGGAAAATTGACTGAGTTACGAGGAAAATGGCCTCCCTCCAACAAACCTCCAAGCTCGTTTACTCAAAAATTGCGGAAAGTTGGGGATTTTATCSCGACTTTCTGTTAGAAACCCCTAGTTAAGTCTGCTTGATGACTTAGARCAAGACTTTCGAAAAATAATTTTTTAAAAACTTTAGAAAATTGCTTAAAATAAAAAAAAAGTTAAAYTTCGTCCCACGATAGAGCGAGTGAATCAACATATACACTGGCGCAGGAACGTGGAAGTTTTCACTTGGAGTAKGAATGGTACGGAGATTTAACCTTTAAAACCTGCAAAAATCGTGAACTTTTATYCAACTTAGTCCACAACWTGCTTGTGTTTTGGCGAATTTGCAACTTTCAAAAAGCGTGATTTAGAGTGATAGAGAGATTTAGTGTGATTTATTTTTCTACCCACGCAAACTTTAGCTGCCAAAAACGTSAAATATTAACTGAGTTATGAGCAAAAGAATGCACCATTGCAGTGAATGCSTAATTTTCGGAACTTCCAACTTTCCAAGCTCKTTTGCKGSAAAATTRTKARGAKTTGGGGATTTTGTCAAGAGCAACTTTTTGTTAGACAATGTTGGTTAAGTCTGTCTGACGACTTRAAAAATAATTTTCGAAAAAYGCTTTTCTATTAACTGCTCATTTTCTTCTGCTTCTGTGTCGGTTTTTCGAAATTTGCAACCTTCCAAGCTCGTTAACTCGAAAACTATTGCTAATTGGAGATTTTG